GACTACTGTGTGTGTAAATGTTAGGAAAATGACACATGTAATGGTGTAATGTGGCTAATGTTTGTCTCAGGCTGAAACGTCAAAGCTTCCTCTCATACACAGCTGCGTTTGCATTTATTCATCATTATTTATTTAAATGGGACAAAATACACCAGATTTAGGCTAAATCGCTAATAATTAGCTCATAGATCCATGGGGAAACCTGTGAAACTATAGTCTGCAGTACTGCGGGCGCCCCCTGTGGCTGTTGGTGGGAGGGCTGTAAGCTAATACTCTATCCAGATATAATCATAGATCTATGATTACTGCAGGTACGGTTTCTCTTATATTTACTTTGCCATAACATCCACAAACTCCAGCTCATTTAACAACCGTCTTAGCAACAGTGACGTCACGGAGCAAATGCCCATATAAGGACATGGGGACCAACAAGCTTGTGTTCAAACCGGCCTCTTCTGCATAAAGACTGACACTATAGTGACTTCAGCTCTGTCAGATCAGTGTCCGAATCCCAAGGAGCAGGAGATTCATGCAACCATCAGTAAACTAAAAAACAACATGAGATATTCAGAATTATAGAGATATCATGTTTTCTTCTAGTTTTCTATTAAAAATGACTATTACTATTTACTTTTCATGTTTTAGAATATGAGGTAGTGTCATCGATAGAAAAAACATGGTGAAACAAGTATAATGGGTAAAAATGCTATCGCCTAAAGAGTAGAATTCTATTTTTATTTAAAAATCAGCAACTGAATTTAAACATTTGTACATTTGAGAAGCAGCGGCTCTACCCCAAGCTCCTCCTGTGTGACCAATCTCTATGGGAGCACCAGACACCATGCTCAGGAAACTTCATGTGATATTTTTCAGTCATTACCCAAAGCTCAAAGACCAGTGATTGAACAAAACAGCAAATGGAGAGCTTTGAGTGCAGACGCTGCTCCTTCTTTATCACAAGTAAGTAAGTAAGTAGTAAGTAGTGTTTATTTATATAGCGCCTTTCACAGACCAGTGTCAAAGCGGTTTATAATTGTGGGCATTTGTCTCTGGCTCCACAGAGACGGGAGTGAGGTTGTCCACATGCCAGACCTGTTGTTTTTAGTGGTAGGAGCACCCGGAGGAAACCTACTCAGACACGGGTAGAACATGCAAACTCCACTCAGAAAAGCCCTGTTTCGACCGGGATTTGAACCCAGGACCTTCTTGTTGAGAAGGGAGAGTGCTAACCACTCAGCCACCGTGACGCACAACAGTCCAATACAGCGGCACATGCTACACCGATGTTGCCCCATGATGCACTGTGCCGTCCTTCTTCCTATTGTCTTCATCATCATCTTCATCATCTTCATCATCATCATAATCTTCATCATCATCATTATCATCATTTTCATCATCATCTTCATCACCATTATCATCATCTTCATCATCATCATCGTCATCATCCTCTTCATCATCATCATCATCATCATCATCGTCATCATCATCATCATCGTCGTCATCATCGTCATCATCGTCATCATCATCATCATCGTCATCTTCATCATCATCGTCATCATCATCATCATCGTCGTCATCATCGTCATCTTCATCATCATCGTCATCATCATCGTCATCATCGTCATCATCGTCATCATCGTCATCGTCATCATCGTCATCATCATCATCATCGTCATCATCATCGTCATCATCATCATCATCATCATTATTATCTTCATCATCATCGTCATCATCGTCATCTTCATCATCATCATCATCTTCATCGGCATCTTCATCATCATCATCATCGTCATCGTCATCATCATCTTCATCATCGTCATCTTCATCAACATCATCGTCATCTTCATCATCATCATTGTCATCGTCATCATCTTCATCATCGTCATCTTCATCAACATCATCGTCATCGTCATCATCGTCATCATCATCATCGTCATCATCTTCATCATCATCGTCATCATCATCAGTATCTTCATCATCATCGTCATCATCATCATCTTCATCATCATCTTCATCATCATCATCATCGTCATCATCCTCTTCATCATCATCATCTTCATCATCATCATCTTCATCATCGTCATCATCATCATCAACTTCATCATCATCATCATCATCATCCTCTTCATCTTCATCTTCATCACCATTATCGTCATCATCATCTTCATCATCATCATCGTCATCATCATCATCATCGTCATCATCCTCTTCATCTTCATCCTCATCTTCATCATCATCATCATCGTCATCATCATCATCTTCATCTTCATCATCTTCATCATCGTCTCCATCATCGTCTTCATCATTGTCCCCATCATCATCATCATCATCGTCATCATCATCATCATCATCTTCATCATCGTCTTCATCATCGTGTTCATCATCATCTTCATCACCATCATCATCATCATCGCGGCTCTGACTGTGCAGCCTCAGCACAAACAGAACCATCCTAAGTTTGGATCCGGGCTTCAGCTGCCGACAAACTCAAGGATCAGCAGCAGATGATCGTTTCCAGGAACAGTCTGACTTTGGAATCACGCCCCAAACATAAGCAACACACTCCGGGCAAAAGCAACACACACTCCGGTCAAAAGCAACACACACTCCTGTCAAAAGCAACACACACTCCGGGCAAAAGCAACACACACTCCGGTCAAAAGCACACACACTCCGGTCAAAAGCAACACACACTCCGATCAAAAGCAACACACACTCCGGTCAAAAGCAACACACACTCCGGTCAAAAGCACACACACTCTGATCAAAAGCACACACACTCCGATCAAAAGCAACACACACTCCGGTCAAAAGCAACACACACTCCGGTCAAAAGCAACACACACTCCGGTCAAAAGCAACACACACTCCGATCAAAAGCAACACACACTCCTGTCAAAAGCACACACACTCCTGTCAAAAGCAACACACACTCCTGTCAAAAGCAACACACACTCCGGCCAACACACACTCCGGCCAACACACACCAGCTCTGTGCACACCACTTTCCTCTTTGTTGTGGCAGGAACAGGAAGATAAGGATCCATCAAAGTTTTTTACGTAGCACATTTCATACAGTGCTTTATAAAGACACTAAAAGGTGAACTATTTTTCTCAATACTGTGTATTTGTCCGCAACATAAAGAGGCTTTTGTGTAAGAGCCCTGTGAGTCACTATTTGACAATTTGGGCTGATACACACATAGATAAACACACACATAGATACACACACATATAGATACACACATAGATACACACATAGATAGATACACACATAGATAGATACACACATAGATACACACATAGATACACACATAGATAGATACATACATAGATACACACACACATAGATAGATACACACATAGATACACACATAGATACACATACACATAGATAGACACATAGATACACACATAGATACACACATAGATAGATACACACATAGATACACACACACATAGATAGACACATGGATACACACATAGATAGACACGTGGATACACACATAGATACACACATAGATAGATACACACATATAGATACACACACATAGATACACACATATAGATACACACATAGATACACACAGATACACACATAGATAGATACATACACAGATACACACATAGATAGATACACACAGAGATAAACACAAAGATAGATACACACACATAGATAAACACATAGATACACACATAGATAGATACACACATATAGATACACACACATAGATACACACATATAGATACACACATAGATACACACAGATACATACACAGATACACACATAGATAGATACACACAGAGATAAACACAAAGATAGATACACACACATAGATACACACATAGATACACACACATAGATACACAGATAGATACACACATAGATACACACACACATAGATAGACACATGGATACACACATAGATAGACACATGGATACACACATACTGTAGATACACACATAGATAGATACACACATATAGATACACACACATAGATACACACATAGATACACACATAGATACACACATAGATAAACACATAGATACACACATAGATAGATAAACACACATAGATACACACATAGATACACACACATAGATACACAGATAGATACACACATAGATACACACATAGATAGATACACACATAGATACACACACATAGATACACACACATAGATACACACATAGATACACACATAGATACACACGTAGATACACACATAGATACACACATAGATAGGATACACACATAGATAACACACACATAGATACACACATACATAGATACACACATAGATACACACATAGATAGATACACACATAGATAGATACACACACATACACATAGATACACACAGATAGATACACACATAGATAGATACACACATAGATACACACACACATAGATAGATACACACCATAGATACACACACATAGATACACATACACATAGATAGATACACATAGATACACACATAGATACACATACATAGATAGACACATAGATACATACACACATAGATAGACACATGGATACACACATAGATAGACACGTGGATACACACATAGATACACACATAGATAGATACACACATATAGATACACACACATAGATACACACATATAGATACACACATAGATACACACAGATACACACATAGATAGATACATACACAGATACACACATAGATAGATACACACAGAGATAAACACAAAGATAGATACACACACATAGATAAACACATAGATACACACATAGATAGATACACACATATAGATACACACACATAGATACACACATATAGATACACACATAGATACACACAGATACACACATAGATAGATACATACACAGATACACACATAGATAGATACACACAGAGATAAACACAAAGATAGATACACACACATAGATACACACATAGATACACACACATAGATACACAGATAGGTATAAGAATGTACACACACACCCCACACACATAGATAGAATGGACATGTTTTATGTTAAAATGTGTGAAAACAGAGGTTGCCAAGACAGAAAGGAAACTTTGCTAGGAAGTTGTTTTTATTCCTGATGCTTTGTGCATGCTGGCATGCATGTCCTCTAGGAGAGTCTGTTTGCGTAGTTCTTGACTCTTGTTATATCTTATGAAGTGAGATTATCTAATGGTTTCTTAAATCTCAATCTGAAACATTTTTTTTTCTAAATGTTATTACAGATGACCAGCCCTACAGTAGGTGGTGTGGCTTTAGATGGCTCTTGTCCTTTCCTGTCTGCAAATCAGACATTTGATGCTGCTGGTCCCAGTGACAGCCAACAGGTATATTCATAACATCACTTATGCATGTTATTTTGTTCTCTCTATATATGAACATTTATGACGATGGACATTAGTTTTCATGATAAACTATTGTGCATTAGCACAGCTGGCAATTTCTCATTATGCATTCAGAATGTGAGTGTTAGCAAAGTATTTCAGGCAGATTTAATTTGTCACGGGCATTTTTCTCTTGTTTAGTTATCAGTCTGTACTGGACACTCACGGTGTCCCCACACCACACTTTTACCAAGTGTGTGAGGAAAAACTGTGTAAAATGTTTAATATGGTCGCCATGAGGAAGTGAATTATTGTTTCGGGAAATGTCCCCACAAAGCCTGTTTGATTCGAGATCTGTGAAGGCAGGCAGAGCTTGGCTGGGTAGGAAGGAATATGAACAATGAAATTTGATTTGAAGTTTTATATCAGAAGTTGGTTTTATGTGTTTCATTCCAGGGATATTCTGTCAACACAATAGTTTATTTTCCCCATTGTTTTGTCCATAATTTACATCAGATTGAGCATATTCAAAAACTGTATCATTCCTCAATGTGTTTATAGATGACCAGCACCACAGCTCATGACATGACTTTAGATGACTCCCATCCCTCTTCTCCACCTCTGAGTCAGATGGATGATAATGACAAGAATCCAAGCAACACTCTCAAAGAGGTATCTGCATTTTACTTATGTCTTTTTAAATGTGTTTGAATTTCTCTCTCCATTTGTAAGAAGCTTCAATGAAGAAAGACCACAGTTTTGATGATAGAGTTAGTGTGACAAAACAACTCAACAAAACCAATAAATAATGTTAGTGTTGACAATGTATTTCCAGCAAATGCTATGTATAAATTAGATCAGACTCTTATTTAATCATCATTTATTCTGGACTCTCATGATGTCCCCACATCACACTAAAATGTGAAGTGTGTAAAAGTGTCGAGGTCATAACTGTTTTGAAAGTCAGACTTTGGTAGTCTGGTCCCCATGAGAAACTGAAAGATTGTGTAAAAGAATGTCCCCACAAAACATGTTTTATGTTAAAATGTGTGAAAACAGAGATTGCCAAGACAGAAAGGAAACTTTACTATGAAGTTGTTTTTTTCTGATGCTTTGTGCATGCTGGCATGCATGTCCTCTAGGAGAGTCTGTTTGCGTAGTTCTTGACTCTTGTTATATCATATGAAGTGAGATTGTCTAATGGTTTCTTAAATTCCAATCTGAAACATCTTTTTTTTTCTAAATGTATTACAGATGACCAGCCCTACAGTAAGTGGTGTGGCTTTAGATGGCTCTTGTCCTTTCCTGTCTGCGAATCAGACGTTTGATGCTGCTGGTCCCAGTGACAGCCAACAGGTATATTCATAACATCACTTATTCATGTTATTTTGTTCTCTCTATATATGAACATTTATGACGATGGACATTAGTTTTCACGATAAACTATTGTGCATTAGCACAGCAGGCAATTTCTCATTATGCATTCAGAATGTGAGTGTTAGCAAAGTATTTCAGGCAGATTTAATTTGCCACAGGCATTTTTCTCTTGTTTAGTTATCAGTCTGTACTGGACACTCACGGTGTCCCCACACCACACTTTCACCAAGTGTGTGACGAAAAACTGTGTAAAATGTTTAATATGGTCCCCATGAGGAAGTGAATTATTGTTTACAGAAATGTCCCCACAAAGCCTGTTTGATTCGAGATGTGTGAAGGCAGGCAGAGCTTGGCTGGGTAGGAAGGAATATGAACGATGAAATTTGATTTGAAGTTTTATTTCAGAAGTTGGTTTTATGTGTTTCATTCCAGGGATATTCTGTCAACACAATAGTTTATTTTCCCTATTGTTTTGTCCATAATTTACATCAGATTGAGCATATTCAGAAACTGTATTATTCTTCAATGTGTTTATAGATGACCAGCACCACAGCTCATGACATGACTTTAGATGACTCCCATCCCTCTTCTCCACCTCTGAGTCAGATGGATGATAATGACAAGAATCCAAGCAACACTCTCAAAGAGGTATATGCAATTTACTTATGTCTTTTTAAATGTGTTTGAATTTCTCCTTCCATTTGTAAGAAGCTTCAATGAAGAAAGACCACAGTTTTGATGATAGAGTTAGTGTGACAAAACAAGTCAACAAAACCAATAAATAATGTTAGTGTTGACAAT